AATTTTGTCAATCGGGTCACCAAATGATTTAAATGTATTTAATCAGACCACTTTTCGTTAGCAGTTTAACGGAAGTGTTAACGTGACAATTAATAAAATTAGTATAATTACATATTTGATCACTCTTACTTATATATTCTATCAATTTGATCCTAATTTTAATAAATTAAAATAAAATTAATCTTTCAATAGGATAGTATTATGTGTCGCCATTTTATTTCATTATTAAATTTATTTATTTATTTTAATTTAATATATTTATTTTCTGTCAATCAGAGGGTGACACATACCACGCTATGGTGGAAATAAAATTTAAAAAAAATAAAGAGAGGGCAATAGAATTGACGCAAGTCTTTTGGGTAAGAAGAAAATAGACCAACCACTGGGCCAAGCTATTAATCTGGTTTAAAATAGACTACATAATATATATAAATATATATTCTCGCCGCTGTTCACTCGGACTGAAAATAACACCCCTTAATCACTTAACTTTCGATAATATATACCCTACAGACATAATTATTCAAAATTATAACATCAATTGATACACACCAATTAATCACTAAAGTCAATCGAAGTATTTATATTTAATGTTATTTTGAAAGTAAATTAGAATTATTCTTTATAATTTTAAGGTTATAATCTTCTCAAAAATCTATTTTTTGAATATTTTGTCTCTTCATGTTTAATTTTTGTTGTTCATCTTATCTTACTGTTTAAAAAATAAATTACTTATTTAATCATTCACCTAATTTTGCATCTCGGTTTTAGCTGTTCAACTACTGTCAAAATAATATGAACTTTACATTTTATTTGTTTCAAAGATCCATCATTAGATTTAATTATTGACTTAATGCAAATGATAATATAATATAGTAATTATCTTAATCCTCCAAATTGATTCATTCCATAAAATTAATCACAATCTAAAATAGTATAATAAAATTTTAATATTTCAAAAAAAATTATCAATATAAAGTGCAGGGGAGAACATGAGGGGTATTGGAAGTTGGGTCTAAGTTTAGATCAGAGTTTATTTGGATTGTGTATAGTTAAGTTAGAGAATTTAATTTTGGGCCGGAACTCCAACAAAATTTGACTGATAAAATTTTTGTATGAAATTTAAGAATAAAAATATTTGTATAATTATATATATAGGTTACATATTAAATGTATATTTAACCTAAATTTTAAATGTTAAATCATGTATAGTACTTCAACTATCACTCTTGTTCCGTTTTTGTCACCTAATTATTTTTTATTTGAAAATCATACCTAATGTTACGTTTTAGTTTCATTTGGTCATCCGCTATTAAGAAATATTAACGATGATGCTGACGTGTCACCATAAGGTAATATTTTATTCTATTAATTTTTTAACAGTGACTGGGTAAAATAAAACCAAAACGTAATGTTCAATATGATTTTGAAAAAAAAATAATAGTTGTTTGATCAGAACGGAACAAAAGTGATAGTTGAAGTTGTAAATGTATAGTTTACCCATTTTATAAAAGGAAAAGCTACATATTTAGTACATAAACTAATACTCTTGTTTTGGTATCCAAAATTTATTTTTTTCAAAATCATGCCTAAAGTTTTGAATAGGTTTCATTTTAGTACCCCAACATTAAAAACTTGACAGTGATATTGACATATCATCATAAGTGCCGTGTCATCGTTGAAAAATTAAAATATTTCATTTCAACAGTTCTGTTAGTTTGTTAACAATTGGGTATCAAATTGAAACCTAAACTAAACGTTAAGTATAAATATGGGGAAAAAATAAAGTTTGGGTACCAAAAGAGAACAAAAGTAATAGTTTAGATACTAAACGTGTAAATTACCTAAAAAAAACCCAACGACGGACACAAAACAGCAACTCACTTGATCTCCGTCTCCCTACACCCCCTGACATAGAAAAAAAAGGAGGAGAAACGGGAGTATTTGCCCAGATCATACTCACCAAGTCACATCGTTTCTGCATTTATTTCTTTTGTTGATTTTTCTACTATGCTCTTTCCGTGTTCTAGTTTGTTGAATTAGTTTGTCATACTTGAATCTTATTTATATAGATGTAGTTCTTTAATGAATCTTTGGATTTTGTTACGAAAACCGAATATTTTTAGTTAACTTTCTGGATGGGATTTGATTTGGTAGATAATGGAAATGGGTGAGATTTGGAAAGTTCATGATCTGCTGTGCCTGTTTCCCTGTTTGGCTGTTCACATGGTATAAAGCCTGCTTTATTGGTACAAGTAGAAACTAACAAGAATGATGGGGATATGAGATGGATTCATACAAATGGTGTTGCCTTTGTGTTGATCAAATGATCATTCCATCAATTGCCAATGAAATCCTACTTTTTCGTCTCATCTCTTTTAATCTTTCCTGGGAAAGAGATTTGGGAAATTCGAACCTATATTAAACCTCTGAATATACTTAATAAACTAGTTAAGAAAATACTATCTATTCCAAGTTCAACTGAGGTCCTAAATCAAACCAGCATCATATAAGGACACCATAATTTCAAAGGTCTTGGAGACTGATCGCAACTTTTCTCGTCATCCATATATCAATAAGAGAGGTGTGTGCTTAAGAAGAGTAGCCAAGGATCATTACCCAAAAACGGTTAACAGAAAAAGAGGCATTTTAATTACATTTCCACTTTGAGTGGTTTCTCTTCAGGCATCATCCACGACTTTCTGTTTCCTATTCGCAAGAATCCTACCACTAACAATGGTCTCAGTCCAGTGAGAGTGAAGTAGCCTGTACTCGTATAAATTATTGTTCTTTATTTTTGCTTTTCGATTTTGGTCTGTCCTTTCGAGGAATATGCACTCAAACTTCCAAATTTGTGCTCAGGTTGATATCTTACCTCTTCTTGATAACATAGTTGGGCATTATGTCTTGGATTATGTTTTATTGCAGATTTAATGGTGTTCCTGTTGAGGAACGGCTGCATTGGAGAACTTTTCTAGTTAAACTGGGAGAGGAAAATCTTAAAGGTGTTAAGAATGAAGAGCTGCTTGTTGCTTCTCACAAGTATGAATATCCTTAGTCCTTCATCCATTTTTTTACTTTCGTATCTATCTTGTAGCTATAATGCATGTTTTCCATCTCGAAATTTCCTTCAAGAATTACTCAATGGGGAATGGATTCTGAGATGGTTGGAAGGTCCAAATCTGGAGTAAATGATGTTTGCTACAACCAGAAGGCTTTATTGAACCGCTTGAAATGCTTGCATGAGTGCATCTGCCATTAGCACAGAATTGTTATGATTTTAGTTTTATACTTTTGCACCCAAACTTACCAACAAGGATGTAGCCCGCAGCGAGCATACTATTTTGTTTTAGTTCTGATGTAGAGGTGTTACACATGTAGCTAAAGTTAACTAAGTTGTAGATAGCATAATCAGCTGATCAACAGGCCTGATTTATTGGATTTCTTTCCCAAACTTCCATCTTTATTCAGGAAGCCTTGTAACTTTAATTTGAGGAAAACCTGTTCTCAGAGTAAAACAAAAACATCCAGTCTCTACTCTGGAGTTAGGATGTGTTTTTGACGGCCAATGAGTCCTAATTTAAAATACATTTTTCAAGCAGTAGCATTAGTTTTTTGCTACTGTCTATTTTTCTGTCCTGAAATTAAGTTAATCCCTGAAGTTATCAAAAAAGCAATATAATGTTTTATCTTCAAGACCTAAAATATTGTAAGAGATTCCTAATATACACATTTAAAACTAATAAATGAAAATCAAAATATGTTATTGTTTTTTGTGGCTTAGGATAAAACTTTTGGGAGTTCTAGCATCATCCATCTGATAAAAATATTATCTTTTGACTAAGAGATATCAGTTTAAAGAACTTAACAATCATACTATTTTATCAGGTCTGTTTACATTGTTTACACGGTGCTCGGAGGTGTCAGCGTCTATGTAGTTGGCAAGGATGAGTATGATGAACTTGCATGTAAGTATATCTTGCGTTCTTTACACATACAACTTATGTTTGTGAGAGGTGAAGAAGCTACAAACTTGAAACCCCTCAACTCAAAATATGTAGTTTTTTTTTGCTGTTTGATGTGAGAGAACTTGATTGGGTCATAGGTTCTTTCCTTATTGGATGATTTACAGTTTGAAAAGCAATGGATTTTCGCTATATTGACTCGCATAAATCACTATTCTCTTGGTTGGATAAGCTTCTTTATCACATTTAACATAGCTTGATTTTTACCCATAGTGTGTCCCATTCTTATGGTTTGTAACTAAAATGAATATTGTTTTTCTGTGAAATGTAATCTAGTACTTTGCAAAATTAAAGAAAGATAACAGTTTGATACTTGTAGTGCATTGAAAAGGGTATCAAATATATCGTCTAGCATGGTGCATAGATTACACGAACTCATTACTGATTTACCTCAATTGTTTTGCTCTAGTGGCAGAGGTGATCTTTGTTTAACCTCAGCTGTAAAGGATGTATGTGGGAAGGTACCAACGGAGCGCCTTTTTCTGGATAAGTATGGAAGGATATGCTTGACTTTAGATGAAATTATTTGGCAGGTGAGGTCACAAATTGTTATTCTATCAATAATTCATTTTGGCATTCTTCTTTTGATCAGAAGTTGTTGCTACTATTTGTTTATAATCGGAACACACACACCCCTAAGTTCCTGTTATATCACTGTCAGGAAACTTTTCCTTTTTGTCTGATTGTTAATTATCATCCAATTGCATTTTCCTTGTTGGCTACTGCTACTGACGTTTTTCCCTCTCTTCTTTTCTAAATATTCTCAAGGGATATCTAGAGAACACAGAGAAAGACAGGATCAGGAGGTTAGTACGTTTAAAACCTCCGACCGAGTTTTAAGCCAAGAACACTCAACCGTTACTGCCTATTCGGAGGCGGTAAATTCGGGTTTTGTACTACAGAAATCATGGTATATCTTATGTCGTAGTATGTATTTACCATGTTATTGCTGTGTTATTTCATGGTTCTTATTCTGAATTACAGATACTTTCAGTTCTGGGTTTTGGAGCTTATGGAACTTTTCCATGGATTTTCTGATATTCTCACATTGATTGGTATCGTTCTTTAATATTAAATTCATTAGCTTAGTAAATTGAGATTATGAATTTGGTGTATTGCGCTATTCCCGTAACACATGTTTATAAAATATATATATATATATATATATATATATATATATATATATATATATATATTTAAATCCATATGTGGAAGAGTTGGTATCTGTTTATGCTTTGCATTCCATGTTTCTCCAAGGTTTTCTTTGATTTGATAATGCAGCTATATATATATATATATATATATATATATAAACATTGGAGAAACATGGAATGCAAAGCATAACAGATACCAACTCTTCCACTGATGGGTTTAAATAAACAGTGTACAAATGAACATTTGATTTGTTTATATTTACGAACAAATTCATTTATAAACTCATTTACCATGTGCGATTTTTCTTTTCCTTTTATTTATTTACTTTTAAATATTGATGGAGATTTTTCTTTTTCTTTTATTTATTTACTTTTAAATATTTATGAATTTTAGAGTTCAAATTTTGAATCCTAAGGAGCGTAAAAACTAATGGTGTAATTTCACCAGTTTTCTTTGGCTTAAAAATAAAAGGGTAAACAATTTCGGATTCGGGACGGAGTTGGGTTTGTGGTTAAAATAATCCACCCGGATAATTTTATTTATATTATACTATATATATTAACTTATTTACAAAAATGCCACACACATAAATATAACGTTTGGAGTTTCATTTTTATTTTACTTCTCTTCGTATTTCCTTTCTGCCGCAGACTCCATCCATTCTCTTAAAAAAAAATTCATTTCATTTTCTCTTCTAAGTTTAATCTCTCTCACTCAAATGTTTGAAGGTTAAAAACATTAAACTTGCTTTCTGTTTCTCTTCCAGATGTTCTCTCGATCTCTTTGATATTTTTTTTGTTTTTGTTCAAAGAAAAAAAACTGAATTTTGAAAATGATTTACTATTCTATTAAAAAATCCGAGATTTTTAGTTCATGAGTCTTTTGGATCCTGTTCTTTTATCTTTTCTTTTTAGAGATTTCGAGTATTTATTTTCAAAATATGCTTTTGATGATTTAATTTCAAAATATGCTTTTGATGATTTATTTTCTTTTGTTTCTGTTGTATCCATCAAAATTATTTGATAGTAATTTATTATTTTTATTTGTTTTCACTGTTATGGGTATACTGTTGTTTAAATGTCGTATACATAAAAAAAACTATTAGATAGTAATTTATTATTTTTATTTGTTTTCACTGTTCTGGGTATATTGTTGTTTAAATGTCGTATACATAAAAAACTATTACATAGTAATTTATTATTTTTATTTGTTTTCACTGTTCTGGGTAAATTGTTGTTTAAATGTCGTGTACATAAAAAAACTATTAGATAGTAATTTATTATTTTTATTTGTTTTCGTTGTTCTGGGTATATTGTTGTTTAAATTTCTAAACTGTTGTGGATTTGTTTTTCCTTGTTCAATGGATTTTTTTTTGTTATTTGATTTACTGTGATACATGTCGGGTCGGGTGGAGTTCAGGTATCCATCTTTTTGGGGTCGGAGTCAGAGCGGTTTAAGCAATATTAAAATCGGAGTCGGGTCGGGGTAGATTATGGTTCCATTATGTCTGGTCGGAGTCGGAGCAGTCAAAAATTCGACCCGACTTGACCCATTGCCATCCCTACTTGCCCAAGAACTTGGAAGCGGTCAAACCAGGTGACTCAGATCCCAAAGGATACTGCAGCATATTTCTCTTGTATTTATCGCTACGATCCTCCGAATGGTGCCCAACACAGAGAAACAGTTTTATTTGTCATATTAATAAAGTATCTGCCTTCTACGCTAGAGGATGCCATTTTACTCGACAAAATATGACTCCTACAAAACCATTGGCTGCAGTTTTAAACTCAATTCATATTCTGCATTAGCATATTTAGAATATACTACTAGTTTTACAATGTGATCGACGAATATCCCACAGTCTACCTCGTAATTATCTTTCTGCTTAAATAGATATAGATATAGATATATATATATATATATTGCTCAACTGAGGATCAATTTGGACAGGGAGAGGAGAAATGAAACATGGAAAAAGACACAGAGCTGAAGTTTCAAGAAGCTTGCCCCAATGGGAACGCAAGTTCTTGGCGTATAAGGCACTAAAGAGGAAACTGAAACTGACAAACCCTAATTCAAATGGAAGAAACAGAGTGAGATCTGGGAATTTACCCACACAGGACATGGGCTTCAAACAGTCATTGAACAGGGAAATCGATAAGGTCAACACCTTTTATCTGGACAAAGAGGAAGACTATATCATCATGCTCAGGGTAAAAACGTTATACTGTGCGTCATTGATCAACTTTGCATTTGTTTCTGGTTCAACGAAACTTTTAATCCTCTTGGTGTTTCCAGGAGCTTGAAAGCAGGGCTGAAAACCTAAATGGCAACGATGAAGAAATGCTGGAATTGCGGAGGGAACTCTTAGATTTTTACTCGGAGATGGTGATGCTACTCCATTACAGTGTCATCAACTTTACAGGTACATATACACTTAATGATGTTCTATCTAAACTTCGTATTCGTTCGAATCTCAACATCTGCAACCAACGAACACGAAAAAATATCGAAAAAAAATGTGTTTCTGACCAGAAAGGGCTTGAAACAAAACAGGGTTGATGAAGATTGTGAAGAAGCACAACAAACGTGCAGGTGGAGCTGTTCAGTCATCGTACATGCCTAGGGTTTTGCAGCAGCCGTTCTTCTCCACTGAGTTGCTTTACAATCTTATTAGGGGGTGTGAAGCCACACTTGAGCGCCTCTCTCCCCCGAATGATCCTTGATGAAGATCCATATTCTGCTTCAGCTCCTCTTGTTTATACTGGTTTCTAATGATATTGGTGTTGGCTCTTGATGACATGGCCTAATACAGTATTAGAGAGGAGAGCAACTGATGATTTATTGTTCTACTATACTTCTCAATTTCATGTATGGTTGAATTTGAACTGTATGTTTACTTTATTATATAAATCATATGGGATTTTCTCAATCTTGGAGTCTGGAGAGTATGTGATATAGCAATGAGTTCGCATTTTTATTATTTTTAATAATTATTGTTATTAATTTGAGTATTGTAGAGTTTAATTTTGAAGATGATTTTTTAATATTCTAAAGACTCTATATCTGCAGATGTTCTTTTGCGACCTCAGTTGTGGACGCCACAAAAAAATTCTTCAAAAATTTCAATGTGAAACGAAACTTCATCTTGCGAAGAACATTTGAAAGAATTATAAAACTAATAAATTTAATTAAAATAAATCATTTATCATTACATTGTTGTAAAATATTCATAATATTATTCAAAATGTTGAATGGATATTTTTATATTTAAATGCTTTTTATAAAAAAAATAACATTCGAAAGATAATGTATAGCATAATATTCATTTGTGAAAATTCAAACGAAATTATAAGTTTCTTTTATTAATCTAAAGTGACTACGAGTGATAATATATGTTCTAATAACTCTCAATTATTTAATAATAAATACTTAAATATCATATAATTATTGATATTCAAATCTGTAACATTTAAAAATAACAATCATTATTTTAAATTTTAACCACCGAAATCGGTTGGTTAGTGCTAGAATAATTATATAAAAATCTTCATAATTTCCACCATGGTTTGATAGTAACAACTAACAAGGGTAATTCCGTCCTTTAAAAATTTATATTCCTTTCTCTGTCCTCAAACCCTAGATCTAGGGTTTTATCTTTATCTTCTCCTTCCCTGTTCTCGTGTCTTCCTTCCTGTTTCTCGACATCAAAACTACAAGGGAAAAGAAAGCCGTGCCTTTTTTCGGAGCTGAAAGGTATACGTTCTTCCACATTTGTATCTCTCTCTTACTGTCTCGAATTTTGAAAATTTTCAAAAACCTAACTATGAATTTGGAGATAAAGTGGATTTTTTTAATAGGATGGGTGAGATAAAGGAGGACAACGACGCCTATGAGGAAGAACTTCTCGACTATGAAGAAGAAGATGAAAAAGCCCCCGACTCTGTCTCCACTAAGGCTGCTGATTCTGCTAAAAAGTTAGTCTTTTTTACTTCGTATATTTTTCAGAATAAAAATTTATTACGCTATGTCATTTTAGAGTTAAGTTATGTTGAATTGCATGTGTCTATATTTCATTTGTTAAATGGGTACTTATTTTTTGATCTTTTGAAGTCGATGAAGTAGTTTAAAATTGAATGCTGAGCTGAAAACTGAATTTACTTTTTAATTCTTGGTGCCATTTCATACGGATGTAATGTAAATAATTAGGTTGTGATCTTGTTGGGTTGGTATTAATTTTTTTTACGTGGTGTAGGGGGTATGTTGGAATTCACAGTTCGGGATTCAGAGACTTCCTGCTGAAACCAGAGCTGCTTCGAGCTATTGTGGATTCCGGATTTGAACATCCTTCAGAAGGCAAAGTTTCGAAAACTCGACTGATTTTAACATATGTGAATTGCATGAATTAAGTCATTTTGTTTTTCTTGGTTTAAGTTATTTACAATGGTGGCTGTATAAAAGTTTGATGCTTTATTATTTTTATTTACTGTTTTGGATGACACATCACTTTATATATTTTGTAATAATCTTTGAAATGGTTTGCCTTGGAATTGCATTTTTAACCTAATTATCCAGGCATTCTAATATTCAGTATCATCATTGCATTTCTCTTCTTTTCTGTTACTTTGTATTGTCTGTTTAAGCTCTTTTACTATTTTTTGTATAATTCTTAATAATCTGTTTAAGCTAAGTTTGCTGGACTTGCATATGGCTGAGTATACAATTCCATTTTTGTGTTTCGCAAGTAAAGCTTCATCTTTATTGACTGATCTATTCAATCTTGCTTGCTTGTTCTTTTTCTAACTTTCTAAAGATTTTGTTATCCAGGTAATCACTACCTCTATATTCATCATTTCAACAAGAAAACTGGTTTGGTAACCTTTCCGTTAAAAGATCGGGAAGAACATTTATAATTTACTGAGGGTTCGCCTACTGCAATTTTATTTTCTTATTCATTAGTGCAACATGAGTGCATCCCTCAAGCTATTCTGGGAATGGATGTGATCTGCCAAGCAAAATCTGGCATGGGAAAGACAGCTGTTTTTGTTCTATCAACTCTTCAGCAAATTGAGCCAGTTGCTGGTCAAGTTGCTGCACTTGTTCTGTGTCATACAAGAGAATTAGCTTACCAGGTGTGTTTCAGAGACTTCAATTTGTTGTTTGGAGTAAGCATGGAAGTTGAGGGTTGTAGTGTCTTTTCATCTTTGGTTCCTTCTTAACGAGTCCCACTTCATCTATGATTTGACAGATTTGTCATGAGTTTGAGAGGTTCAGTACTTATCTGCCAGATATTAAAGTTGCTGTCTTCTATGGTGGTGTCAATATCAAGGTCCACAAGGATTTACTAAAGAATGAGTGTCATATCGTTGTTGGAACACCTGGAAGGATTTTGGCTCTTACCAGGGATAAAGATCTTAGTTTGAAGAATGTGAGGCATTTCATTCTTGATGAATGTGACAAGATGCTTGAGTCGCTTGGTATGCTTTCTAATTTCCTTTTATCTGCTGTAGATATGCTACTTCTTAGGTGCCTTTTGTTTTATATATCCATCAGTCGTCATTTTTATTTTTTAAATTGTACAGACATGAGGAGAGATGTGCAAGAGATCTTCAAGATGACTCCACATGATAAACAAGTAATGATGTTTTCAGCCACACTTAGCAAGGAAATTCGACCTGTGTGCAAGAAATTTATGCAAGATGTAATTACACTTCTTTTTAATGTCTATGCTATTTTGTCTCTTCAATACTACTACTTTATGTGGGTAATATGTAGTTTTTGTATGTACCATTCTTTAATGACAGGATACATACTTTTAGAAATTGGATTGCATTTGAAATATATTCCTCCTTTGATGGTCTTTTTTGATGTTTTGGCTGCAGCCCATGGAAATTTATGTTGATGATGAGGCCAAGTTGACTCTTCATGGTCTGGTACAGGTATGCATAGAGCTAACCACTTCACTTTATAGGCTTTGTTTGAATTTGAAGGAAGGAAAGGTAAAGGGTATAGAGGTGACTATTTTTTTTTGTTTCAATAATTTTTTGGTCGGGTAGGGATCTGGATATAACTCTTTGTTCCTTCAAATTAGGAAGATTTGTGAATGAAGATTCCTCTTCGAAAAATTCTGATTGGCCAGAAGAAATTGTCCTTTTTTTTAACATTTCCATTTCAGATGGTATATTATATTAATGACTTGGCCCATTTGTATACTTAACCAAGTAAGGTTGGCAATGTACCCTTCCACCCCACGCACCGCACCCCTTTCATTTTCTTTTCTTAGCATCCAAACAAGGGAAACTTGTCCTTCCTTTTTCTTTCTCTTTCCTGTTCCTTGCAGTTTTCTTGTAGACACATTGTTAATGCCTAGATAATTGTTTTTCTACCCATGCAGCATTACATTAAATTGAGCGAGCTAGAGAAAAATCGCAAGTTGAATGATCTCCTTGATGCCTTAGATTTCAATCAAGTAGTTATTTTTGTCAAAAGTGTGAACAGAGCGGCTGAGCTCAACAAGTTACTTGTGGAGTGCAATTTCCCCTCTATCTGTATCCATTCTGGAATGTCCCAGGAAGAAAGGTATGCATGCATTCCTTAGTATTTTGTAGGCATGATGGCTGAAGTATCCTTATATCTATGATCTATGCCTTACATATGCCGTTATAAAATTTTGTGTCAATGTGGTGAATTGAGAAGAGGTAGATATTTCAAGATTGTTTTGGCTATTTTGTTTCCTCTTATGGATTTTCGTCTTGCTATATTCGGTAGGGTTGGAAAAATAACCTGAGCCTGTTGGGTTCTGATTTGATCCAATAGGATCTTTTTTCTGTTTGTTTTGTTTCTGTCCGAAAATATGGTTCAGGAATGGGCAGGTCTGATTTTCTTATTGAAATATTTCGGGGTGGTTTTAGATAAAATCTGTTTTCCCTGCTTTCGGTTATTTGCTTAATATCCTCTTATGACTTTAGTGTTTGTGTCGATTAATTTTTTGCTGTGTATCTGACATTTATATTTCATCTTAGGCATAAACATTCAGCGGTTTTCTCTTAGTATGAAATTTTCTTTTTGGAATGGGCTTCTATTTTGTGCCTCTCTTGTGTGTGAATGTATTCATGCAACTTTTACATTGAATTTAACCTGATATTAGCTGATTATTTGTTTATTATCTTTTAAGGTTGACACGATACAAGAGTTTCAAGGAAGGTCACAAAAGAATTCTCGCGGCCACAGATTTAGTTGGAAGGGGAATCGATATTGAGCGTGTTAACATTGTTATCAACTATGATATGCCAGACTCTGCTGATACCTACCTGCATAGGGTAAATTATGTTATTCCTTTTATTGCAGTTGAACCAGAGTCATGCTGACCTCGACTTTCTATCATCTTTCTCTGGGTTCTGTTATTACAGGTTGGTAGAGCTGGTAGGTTTGGCACCAAGGGGCTTGCAATTACATATGTCTCATCAGCGTCTGACTCTGATGTCCTTAATCAGGTTATAGACAATTTCTGTTTCATATACTCTCTGTACTTTATATATATATATATACTAGAACTGATTAGTCACTTTTGTGTAATAACTTTTGTTACTTTGATGGTTTCAGGTTCAGGAAAGGTTTGAGGTGGATATAAAGGAGCTTCCTGAGCAAATTGATACTTCAACATACAGTAAGATAATTTGCTTAATATGTCGAATCGTAATGGATATGGACTGTAATTACTGTCTCTAATCTAGTGGACTTATGATTTGGTCCAATATATTTGCATATAGTGGTTCTATAAAGTAGGTTGTAGGCATTTCTCTTTCTAATCTGTGCAACTAATTCATTTGTTGAAGGTATGATATGGCCATCAAGAATTGCCAAATTTGTTTTCATTCGCTTTGTGTTTCCTCTTTTTACTGTTTGTTTAGCCATTTTGGGGTCCAAGCTAACCATGTTTGTTTATCGTGTAGTGCCTTCATGATCGAAGTACTTGATGCTAGACACCGAATCACTTGGGTTGATTTGGATATGGAGTTGTAGCATGAAGGGACATGCCAGAACTGAGAATTGTTGTAAAACTATAGGTGGGATGGAAACATATTATCAGTTTTGTTTTTCATGTACTGCTTTTGATCAATTAGACTGTTACCATTAAGACTGAATCTGTAGTTTACCCGGTGGACTGCACCTGGGGTTGGATCTTCTAATTTTGGAATTTTTAGTTTATTGATGTTCTTCTTAGGTGTTTGTTTCTTTGTACAACTAAGTTATCTTGGAATGGGCAACACAATCCGGGATATCATAATAGAAGTATAATGGCCTGCGATACGAGGAAGCCCGGTGTTCAAGAACTTGAGCAATAAAATTGGCTGGGTCGCACATAGATGACCCGAATGTTAGCATCGGCAGCAAGCATCTGTTTTTGCTTTGACGAGGTGAAAGCAGGCCATGAATAGATCAATATGATGAGATGAGATACCAGTCGACGCACAAGATTAGCCGAGATTCCCGATTATCACCCGCGGAGCATCCAACTTATAAGCTAAACGAATGCCTAACGTACGTTGTCCAATCCCGCAACTGGTAGAGCATAACCGGTAATCCCGTGCAATAACACCACCCGATTCAATCAACCAGAACGACATCAACGTTTATATGAATGATATTTTATTGATTAACATGTATTTCGTTTTTTTAAACTGTACCGACATAAATGTTATCGAAATGATTCACCATGTCTGGTTAAAATGATGCTCGCCTGTGTTTTTTTTAAAGAAATCTGATTTGGAGTTGGGACACATCTTTTAATCGGGATTTATTAAAATAAACCTTATAAAAGTATTATTCGTGTCAGATATTTAGAAAAGTTTTGCCATCAACGTCATTTCAGATGTGGCAATATATAATGGACGGGCCACCCATCCGATTCATAAAAACAAAAGCCCTAATTCTATCTGCTGCTTGGGCATCTTGGGTATTACCAGTTTCTTATCGTCTTGCTTTCCATTTCTGATTCCCCTTAGGGTTTGATGGGTTTTATTTTAGGGAATTTGATTGGTTGGTGAATCCCTCAATCTCGTTGTAGTTTCCCATCGTTGTGTAGGAGAAAAATAATCGAGCTTGAGCAGCTGCATTGAAATGGTGAGGTGATTATAATCTGGAGATTTTAATGTCGGAGAGCTGCAATTCTCGGCACTTCTCATGGCTAATGAAGTCTTGTTTCCCAAACCAAAATCACAAATCTTTGATAGTTACACCCCAACAACTCAACCCCACTGTTTCTCTAACACTCTCTTCTCTCCCCGATGATCTCCTCTTGGAATGCCTTTCCAGGGTTCCTTCTTCCTCCCTCCCTTCCCTTTCCCTCGTCTGCCGCCGTTGGTTCTACCTCATTCTCTCCCCCTCTTTCCTCCTCCTCCGCCACCAACTCCGCCTCCTAAGCCCTTCCATCTTCGCCTTCTCCGCCACCGACTCCGGCATCTTTGCCGCCACCCTTTCCTTCTCTTTACCCAAACATTGTCATGCAGCTACTTGGGACCTCCCTTTATGTCTACCTATGAACACCGCTTCGCTTCATAGTATATCGAGGCTCGTTTCGATCGGACCCCGGATTTACATGATCGGTAGGAACTTCATGCTTAGGTACAACGCTTGGACCCAACACGTTACTGCCAAATCCCCCATGCTTTTCTCTCGCAAAAAGTACGCCGCCGCGGTTGTTTCCAACAAGATTTATGTCGCCGGCGGCGTCGGTTCGAGGATTGCCTCCGCCGTGGAGGAATACGACCCGGAAAACGATACTTGGCGCGTTGTTTCTTACTCGCAAAGGAGGCGTTATGGGTGCATTGGGGCGGCGGTGGATGGGGTCTTTTACGTTATCGGTGGATTGAAAATCGGTGGCGCGTGTGGGGATGGAGTTGGCAGGATAGAAGCTCATGTTTACGCAAGCTCGATGGATTTGTACGACGTAGAGGCGCGTGTTTGGTTGCGGAGCAGAGCCGTACCGGGTGGCGGCTGTGTGGTGGCGGCGTGCGCGGTAGCCGGATACGTATACGTTCTAACGAGCCACGCTGTGGAACTCTCGTTTTGGCGATTCGACGCGCGGAGAAAATGCGGCGGAGGTGAAGGATTCGGGGAGTGGTGTCGGATGAAAAGTCCACCGATGCCGACTCAAATTCGACTCGACGGGACGGTGAGATTCTGTTGTGTAGGGGTTGGGGATAATAAGGTAATATTGGTACAAGTCGTCGGCTGCATAGATGACCTGTTGAGAAGAGGCGGAAGGAGTGAAAGGGGTTTCAAAGACGGGCTTGTTTTGGTCTACGACAGTGCCGGTGGGGAGTGGAGTCGAGCGCCGGATCTGCCGGAGGTAATACGACGCGCCGCCTGTGTGAGTGTGGAGTGTTAATCGGTGCTAACTTGCGCCTATGGGAAGCTTTTTGGAGTCTTGTGTCAAGCAGACAAAATGATTGTTTGTAACGTGGAGGGAAGAAAAAGGGCCAAAAAGTATTGGGCAATGAATAGGGTTTAACTTCCTTGCTGCCCAAAATTGCTTCAATTAAGGTTTATTTAATTTTATTTTATGATTTCCTCATACGTACACCAACGTTGCTTGCATGTACGCTAGTTGTAAATCCTAATATTTTTAAGGGTCTATTTGTCATTGCGTGCCAAACCAACTCTTGGAATGAAGAACATTTTTGAGAGCAAATGAAACGAGTGCTGCAAAGATGTTTCTTTAAATAAGCTTTTGAACAAACTTATTACTGGATAGATCCTTTTAATCAACTTCTTTACCTTGTTTTAATAACAGAAAAAGATCAAGGAGCAACTGCCACTGAAACGTTGCAAACTCCAGGTATTGACAACGCCCAACCCTTGTCGTCTAATATAATCTTTCTTGAGAAATGTCGTCTGATACAATCAACATCAAGTTTAATGGCACAACTTACCTAATGTGGAAGCCTCCTTACCTTCTGCCAAGTAACAAGGTACTGTCCGTGTCTATAAACAACATGTATCAGCCAACAAAATTCAACCAGTGGCGGGATTTGGTTTGTAATGTGGAGGCCGTGACCCTCACACGTCCCCCACTGTATTTTGCCTCTGACCTCAGCCCTATCCATCACATGTGATAAGTTCATAAATATTTTTGTATAAAGAAAATTTTATATAAAACGTGCACAAATAAAATTTTAGAATCAACACATCAATAAAAGCAACAATAACATAAAAAAGTTTAGATTTCATGATGGATCTTAAACCCTATTTACATCCGTCAGTGCTATCCTCCATGTGGGCAATACTCTTACCGCCCAACCCTAATCATCTTGCACATCCCATCAATGGCCACCTAAGCCTAAACTAAATGGCCCATTGGGTTAACCCTACTCACCTAATCCCATTGTTCTCACAACCCAAATTAACCCACATTTCATCACACCTACTTTGAACCCGGTTGGGCCGAATACCCACCTATATCCCGTTGGGTTTAATAAAACGTATGTGCACAAATACAAATGACTTTTTTGTGTGTGTTGGGGGGGGGGGTTTGCGATGAAGTTGGGTAAATTACTTTAAATATCATTAGGCCTATATACGAATTGAACATTTAGCGAACCGTTCATGAATCGTTTGGCGGGAAGTTCGTTTATGTTCGTTTATTTATTAAACGAACAAACATGAACAATATTTTGTGTTCGTTTAATTTAATGAATGAACATGAATAGAGGGCTCGTTCGTTCATTTACGTTTGTGAACGTTCAGTAATATGTTCGTTCATTTATGTTTGTTTATGTTCGTTCGTTTATGTGCACTCATTTATGTTTACACCAATCTCTCTAGACTCATTTAAAATATTAAAGCCCGATAAATTTTAATCTGATACCCATAAATATTTTAAAATTCAATTAATTTTAAATACAAATAAAAAAACTCAAACCAATTAAATAAAACATAATCCTAAAATTATTAGGAAAGAAAAATATATATTTTCATTTATGTTCATTTACGTTCATTTATTGTGTTCGTTTACTTGTGTTCGTTTGTGTTCGTTTATTGTGTTCATTTATGTTTGTTACATCTGTTCGTTTACGTTCGTTCATTTGTGTTCGTTTATCATTTAAATGAATGAACATGAACAAGCTACATTCCTTACCGAACGAACACAAACAAGAAATTTTTCGTTTGTTTATATTCGTGTTCGTTCATTTGTTTGGTTAAAGTTAAATGAACGAACATGAACATACCTCCGTTCGTGTTCGTTCGATTCATTTACAGGCCTAAATACCACTCACCTTTAAGCTTAGGCTTGTTTATGCCACTAACGTTTCAATTTTATCACTGGCGTTTATGTTTAACTGCAATTATGCCATCCCTCCATTAATCCGTTAACGGGATGATGGCATGGCATCTCTTTGTCGTAACGGTGATGACATGGAAGGTTTCATCAAAACAACATAGTTTTTTAATTATTATTTTTATTCTCTAAACGAAATAGTTTTATGAATGACTCTTTATTCCTTAAATGACTTTTATTATTCCCAAAATCCATTAAAATATTCATTAATTTGTTATTATTCCCAAAACATAATTAAACCCTTCCTTAGTATACTAGAAGCTCGAGATAAACCAATTATAACTTTAATGGAGATGACCAGGACCAAGATAAAAGAAAAAATTACTATGAAAAAAGAAGTTGTAGACAAGTACACTGGAAATTTGTGTCCAAGAATAAAAAAAAACCTAAAATTGCAATTCAATAGTCCACTAGGTACTGTTAAGTAATTTATTGCACATTTATTGTAATTGTTTTTGTTCCTACTAATTCTTGATTGATTGTTGTGTGTAGGTGTTGGCCTACCCATACTGAAGGTTAAAAGTACCAAATGTCTTCTGGACTAGCTAACCGACATGCTATTGATTTGGAAAATCATTATTTCTCATGTAGAAAATGTGATATCAGCCGTTTGTACCATGACACTTTATGTTCCAATTTCATTCTCATTTACTTTATTAATTTGACCACTTTTATTTCTTTCATTGACATAGATATCATGCATACATGTTATTTCTGTAATGGTGTTCAATAATTTGAATTCTGAATCTTATGTTCACAACTATTATTTTATAACCACCCAGAAAGAGATTTATGTCACTTCATTGAATCCATGAGAGTGCCTAATCAATGGCTAATTGACACTACTTGTGAGTTAGTTATAGCACCAACAATTAGAATGTAACATCCTCAATATCGGGTTAGTGACTAAAGTGTGAATTTTAAAAAAAATTAGTGACCAGATTGGATAAATTGAAAAGATGAAGGAATCAATTGAAATATTTTATATAGAATAGTTTAGTAAATGAAGAAAGAGTCAAAGGGAAAATGGGTCATTGAACAAGGAATAATTAAATAATTATAGTAGGTATTTTATAAACCCATGTGAATCATAATTTGGGAAATCAAGTTTCCAGATTACTCTTCTATCTTCTTTCTTCATCTTCTTCTTCTCCAACGTGAAACCCAAGCCAAGGTAAGTTGATTTTCTTTTGGTTTATCCTTAAAATTCAAGTATGGTTTTGGTTAAGGAAGACTTAGGAAACATGATGGAGATGAAAAGGGTTATAGAAACTCAAAGATTTGTAAGTTATGAAGGATTAAAGATAAGAAGTGGATAAGTGAAATTTTGATTAAGAGGGTTTAAATGAATTTAGAGGTTGAATTTGACTTGTCATTTATGAGAATAAGAAGTTATAAGTGTTAAAATTAAGTTTGTATAACATGGAAAATTGGGTATGATCCTTAATTTTAAGAACTTGGATGAGATATGGGAGATAGTAAGATGTTGAAATGATATAAGTTAATTAAAATGGTTGTAAATGAGTTTGGTGGTATGATAGGAGATTTTATGATGAAATTTAATGAAGAGTTGATGAATTTTCGGATGAAATAGCCTATTCTGGGCAGGTGCATCGATACACTATGAATGGGTATCGATGCACTTAGACCAATTTTGAAGGTGCATCGATACACACCGGCAAACATCAATGCATGGAAATTTTAAAGCTATTTTGGGTACCGATGCACCCATAGTGCATCGATATACCCCTAAAGGAAAGAATGAATTTTTGGTTTATTGAATTAGCTTAAGTTATTAATACCAAGTTATAAGTTTTAGGCTTTTGATAATCATCTCAGAAATTATGTTTATGTAGATATCGAGCCTAAATGAGTTTCGGAACAAGTGACACGTAAGATCGATCGAGGAAAAGGAAAAGAGATATAAGTGAGTGCGTATGCATAGCATGATTATAGAAATATATTCAGTTCTAGACTTGTGATAAGTCTATATTTAATACTTTGATATATGATTCATTTCATATTATGAAACATGATATGAGTTCATATCATATGCATTATGTGACATGAATATGCAGGAAAAATTATATGAGCTATGTGATAAAGGTATGGAAATTATATGTCTACGCGATATAAACTATGTGAATTGTGAAAACCCATGTTATGTAGATGAGAACTATAGGTATAGTTGGCATGCCAAGAGTAGAGGGTCTACGCGGTCCTTCGGGACAAATTCTACGTGGTCCTTCGGGACATATATGTATTCTTTGGAATATGTATGAGGTCTTTTGAGACACCTACTTGATCCTTGGTATATGTATATGATTCTTAAGGAATTTATATGTGGTCCTTATGGACAATCTTATATGGCACTACGGTGCAATTCTACGTGACACTTCGGTGCAAATTTCTAACGCAGTCGTTCAGAACAAATTCTACGTGGCACTTCAGTGCAAATTTATATGAGCTGTGGTGACAGCATAGTCCACAACCTCACAGTACTCACATACCTCAGGTTTTCAGTATTGTATCATGGGCTATTGAACTTATTGATATGAATTCATGATGGATAATTTAATAAGATCATGGGTAAGATACATGGTTATATGACTTATATGGTTTGAATATATGATTTCATGATATTGCATTTCATTATGACATTTTTATTATATTTCATTGTCATTATCATTATGTCTCACTAAGTCTATGACTTAGCGTGTAAGTGTTTTACACGTAGGTACCGAAAAGCAGAGAGATCCATTATAAGCTCAGCAAAACAACATAACTCCACTTGAAGGTCAGATCAGAAGTAGATTAAATAGTATGTCTTATTATGTGATAAATAGGTTGACATGTAAACAAAAATCGATAAATTAAGTATTTATGCTCTGATCGAGTTTTATAATGTTTTAAACGTATTTATGTAAATGTAACTGTATAGAGATGAAAGGTTAAATTTTTACGAGTTTTATGTACGTTTTACAAAAGTTACTGTAGTGGTGCATCAGTACACTATAGCAGTGCATCGGTATACTGTAGCAGTGCATCTATACACAATTTATATTCGATGTATTTATGCATCGGTACACTGTAGCAGTGCATCGATACACAATTTATATTCGATGTATT